CGGTGCCTAATGTTCGCTTGACTCATTTATCTTTATCTTCAATCTATCTGCATATCTATTGCAGTGGTTTTACTCGCCAGGGTTATTCTCTAAAAAAGAGGGCGTCTAGCAAACACTGGACATTCGCGAGGTTCCTCGATAAATCATGATTCTTTTAGAAACTCCAGCGAGCATGCTCCCAGCGTCGCGTGACTTCCGCTGTCGTAACATTATTAACACATTTTTCTTTAATGAATAAAGTATAGTCCTAATCATATTTTACATAGTTAAGCCACCACAATAGTGAAAACAGAATGTAAAAAAACTTTATTACAGGCTCAGTTATGACCATCTTTGTAGAGTAGCCAATACATCAAAATATTTTAAGCACATTTATAAAAACGAGAAAGCGAAATTAATATTAATGTGGGCAATGATATCAGACAAACACATTTAATAAAATATTTCAGCCCTTACCTAGTCCAAAGCACACAACCTTGAAAAATATAAGAAACTGTTAATATTTGTTTTATGTGAGTATATCAGTGAAATATAGATGGCCGGTACAAACCCCTTCTACCACATTGTTAGCCTATGTGAGTATGCATACAGGTAAACAAGTTTCAACAGAAATATCTATGATATTGTTCATATGATAACAGAAGTAATTTCATCCTGTATTAGGTGACCTAATATAAATCCTGACATTTATGTTTTATGGTTTCATACAACGTGTCTTTAAATAATAATACTTGTTTAATGTAATTTCTTTAGTTTTGTACTTGCTAACGAAGGAGGTGCGTTAGGTTGTACTGTTCATCATCTCGACCAGATATAACATTTTCTTCCTCTTTACAATTCCTTGAATTGTGTTATCCGTGTAAAATTAAAGTTGAGATACACAAATATTTCAGAAAAGATACGTTTTTGTTCTTGTTTTTTTATTAAATGATATATGCTTATGAAAGTGTCACATCCAATGCTTAAGGAAATAAAATATTTTGGACCTAAGATTTTAGCTTCTAGCATTTTGCTTTGGAAGATCCAAACATATCTAAAGAAACAGTAAATGATATAGAAATGTTTGTTTCAACCGATAGACTCAGGATTAGGATTTTAAAATAACTGGAATTAGTTGGAAAGCTAATGACTTGGCCAGCAGTCATGACTTTGATATCCCGTCACACTGAAGATCCAATCGAGGTAATTTTGAATGTAAATATACACGCTGGGTACACCAGGTTGACTACAATCAATCCCCCAACAGACAATCCCAGCCAAGCTGTAGGTCCCGTCTTTTCTCCAACACATCAATAGACCACCTCCGTCACCCTATGAAAAGATTTGTATCATTCTGGTTCCCACATAATAGCTTTTCATTGTAGCGAGAATTTTAAGTTAATTGTTTTATTTAAAATTGTTTACTAACTGGTACAATTACAAAAATATACATTGAAATGGCTTTTATTTGTACTTTCTTGTTGTTGTTTGTTAGCAATTCATGAAATGTAAAATACACTACTGGTTAGGGTTAGCAAAAATACTGAATACATAAGTGTCAGAATTTAAAATAAAATGAAAAGATATATATATAACTTTTCCTTTTGCCAATTGTGAAATAGAAAAGCTTTTAGTTATGTTTCTTAATAGTATAATATATACTATGCTTAGGATTATTTTACAGGAGGTGTCTCTGACTTAGCAATAAATTCAACGATGAATAAACAGCACGCACTTCACTTGTTTTCAAAATAATATATATCTTCAGAACAAGTTAACGTATGTA